TCTTTCTCTTTCTCTTTCTCTTTCTCTTTCTCTTTCTCGTTTCCTTAACAGCTTCTGATAAGTAACTACAGCATGATAAGAAATGTTTTTCCTGTTCCACAGTGGAACAAGATATTTAAACTTGTATACTCAATTCATACAAAAATACACCTCCCCCTTCCCAAAGATTATTGATGAATAAATAAAAACAAATAAGATTTTGCACTTAAAAGAAGGTATTTTCAATAGACAAGCATATAGTGCTTTGATTCTTCAAAATGCTGCTCCAGTAGCTCATGCTGAATGAGCCCTGGTATTGATCTGGCAGGTTCTCCATTTCTGTCTGCTCAGGGGATTAGCTAGGATCAAGAAGGACTGAGGGAAAAACTGGACATCAGTTAAGCAGAGGAAGCTAAGGGAAGAGAATATGGGTGGAAGACTTTTTTTTGAAGTTAAGCAGTTAAACAAAGAATAGGAAAATGAAGAAAAGTGCAGTCTGAACTCAGCTTGGGCCTGGTAGTTTGTATAACCTGAAGCAAAACCTCATAATATGAGCTTCTATTTAATTTGGAGGATGCAGGCTGATGAAGAAATCAGAACCGGGGTGGTATAAAAATTTGTCTGAATTTAAGCCAAATAATGGACCAAAATACCCAATTTCCTTTAGAAACCACAGGTTTAAAGGAAAAAGCACATTCCCTATTTCTGTCTAGCTTTAACAATATGACCCATGATTATATTTTCTCTCCCCTGTCTAGTTGGGGAGGGGAGTGGTAGAGAAGCTTTCGTGGGTGCCTGGCATCCAGCCAGGGTCAACCCATTGCATATGGTAATCTCATTTCATTGACTAAATTGCAAACATAACTCCCAAAATTATTATTCCCATAATTTTATTTAGCAGCCTGTTTAAGTTGTACAACTGCCACAGATACTATTCTGCTCTGTCAAAGGTTTGTGCCAAATTTTGGAGGAAATATGATCATACACTGGTTTCAAAAGTCATATAGTATTACATCTCACAAAACTAGAGCAAAACAAAAAAAAATTGCCTTTATATATGCACACTCTGAAGGCAAATCTTCCTCTCCTGGTAACTGGAGTTTGGAGTCATTCTGCAGTTTGCTGTAGCTGTTCAAGCATGACCTCAAATAAAATGTTTTGCATTCATTGAGCCCAGAGGGCCATGAAAATGCATTTTATGGACAATACATTATTTTGTTATGATACTTAATTTAGCATTATTTTTGTGTGCTCATTAGTAGCACCTGCTTCATGAAACAAAACCATCCAACTTACTACCTAAGGGATATTGTGACCCATAGGCCAGTTCTAATCCTCAGGACAACTACAACATCAGATAAAAATTACTTTCCCTGAGATAACATCTGTGATATAACCCATCCCACAGTAGTCAGGAAGTTGTGTAGCATGAAGGTGAATCAGTATTGGGAGTCTGAACAGCTCACATAACATTCATTGGCTGTGCACACTGGAAAACATAACGGGTTTATATTGGCTAGAATGGACAAAGGATAACTGCTGAAAACTGCCCCCGTAGCTACACCTATGAGAACCCTTGTACAAACATTTTCCCAAGTACTGGATTTACACAGTGGTATGCCCAAAAACGAGATTTAAATGCTTGGACACATAAGAAGGAAATCACTACTGTGCTAAGGCAGATGGACTGTGACAGCACTTTCTCCTTTCCAAGAACAAGCCTAAGGTTAGTGAGGATGAAGGAATCAGAAGGATAATGAGTTAAATAAATGTTTAGAATTCTGCATACTGCAAAGAATTTTTCTATCACCCTTTCTTTTTCCCTTTTTTCTCCAATTTCAATAGCATAAATAATCACCCAGACACTTCATATGTAGCTACATTGGAAAAGTGGAATTTATCTTCAGAAACTTATGATTATTGTTAATGAAATATGGTTAATAGACAGAAGCAGGCACTTCTGGAATATTTCAGGTGGCTGCTACCATGCTAAGATGACAGACATCATGCAAGTGCTCTCCAGTAGCTATAAAAGAAGCCAGGATGACTAATTTGGAGGTAGATGTCTTTAAATACTGTGATAGCTTCATCACAGAGCTTTTTATTAGGTCAGGTGTAAACCATTGTAATTCAACGCCTTTCTCTAAGTTTCTTTGTAGCCTTGGATTGAGAGAGCACTGATGATAAACTGGTGCTTCATATAAACACATTGGATCGCTGTATGTATACAATATGTACGTATAAGACAGAAAAGACAAAAGATATTTATTTAAGTTTAGTTACATACCAGAGATACATACTGGAGCAATTAACATAATCTAGGATAATATTAGAGGGAATAATAATGAAACTGTGGTCATAAACCTCTTCTTTACAGCTGCAGATGGAGAAACTGATTATTCCTTTGGATACTTTTACTAGACTTAACTTCTGTTCTGTGGGGAGGTTTATCCTTTCTGTATGAAAAACAATATTGACTTGTGTTGCAGAGTGCTGGCTGCTGGATCAGCTGTCACCAGATAACAATGTATAATTGCATACTGCCTACATGAGAACATCCTGTCCCCTCATCTCCAGGAATAGCTCCACTGCAGAGTTCATTGTTCTGCAGGGTCACTGCCAGTGAAGTCGTGCTGCAGACCTCCAAGAAGAGGAACAATTACTCTGGTCCAAAAATCCACATTTAAAATTTAGAAAAAAACAAAACAAAGAAAGAAGAAAAACGTCTCCCCTAGTCCCTCTTCCCCCCACTCCAAACCCAACCAAAAATTCCCAAGCCAACAAAGCCCAGTAAAAGAGCCCCACTGGTGAAATTTGCTAGGAGCAAAAATTAAGCCTGCTAAAGTAAAGGAACTTTCTTTTCTTAACAACCTTAACACTCCCTTTACACTACAACTTGTAATCATATGATTATATACATCTTTTTTACTCTGGGCCTCTGACACATATAATATGCAGCATAGATTATGGCATTTGATTTTCTTCTTGCTTGACATTTCCGAGGTGTTAGTTCATGCTGCTGATTATTAATTGTTTGCAAATGTTTGTAGTTTCAACATTCTTGTCCTTATGTTCTTTCTCTCTCTGTTGCTGACTTTGGTGGCAGTTGTAGGTGTCACAGCTGTAGGGCTTAAGTTGTAGGTGTTATAGTTGTAGGGGTTAAGGTCTTGCCTGACTGTAAAGAAATTCAGAATATATTTATAAGCGAGAAGCATTTTTCTTTCCCATCTTTTAAGTGGTATTTCCTCTCACCCACAGTGTTGTAACACTGAGATAGTTACTGCTTTAAATATCGTTTTAGAGTTGCTGTAACTACAAAAATAAAGAGCAAAGAAATAAAAGGGCATTTTCTGTGTGTTAGGAAAGAAGTGAGTGTTCTATGTGTAATGGAAAACGTAGATAGAAAAGGATATCTATTTTGTCATAATGGTGATTAATCTTAATTCTTCTCTATGTTTTTCATGGGCTCATATTGCTAATGAAATATATAATTGCTACAGTAGTATTTTATAAACATAGGCACATAGAAGTGGATTTTCATCCTTTTTCTGAGTCATAGTGAAATGGGTAATTTTAGATTACCGGTTACTAGTCAACAGTGCTCATCATACAGGTGTTACCTGAATTCCAAGGTGAATACTATATGGTTTATATTATAAATGATCTAACAAAATAGTATTCTCCTTAAGAAACAGAGTTTTATAAAGCTTAGATTTTTTTTAACAGTTATAGTGTTGAGTAATGCAGTGTTCTAATAAGTTAGTTTCAAATCGAGCAAAATGCATGAAATTAAATTTTTTTATTTTAGACTGTGTTTCCAAAAGTTCAGTGATACCAATTTTTCTGTCAGATCTGCTGGTAAATGGATTATGCTGTCTTTTCCATTAGAAGAGAATGATTGCTAGGAAGATAAAGCAATTTGATGTGGCATCAGAAAAAAGCATGGCACACACACACACATACAATCCAGCCTCAATCAACCTGAGACACAGGTCTCCTGCCCATTTCTTCCTGCACCTTCTGCCCAGTCGGTTTGGTCTGTTTTGGAGATGACAGGGCCCACTGTGGTGATGTTGTGTTGGAAGCAGTTACATCTTCCAGTAAAATTGCACCACATTTTCATTTATATTGATGGCTCCCTCGTGTTCCCACAGTGGTGCCATGAAAGGTGTTAAATAATTATTTTCTTCCTACTATACAATACATCTCAAAATGCACTCTTTTGATAGCTCACGTCACTGTTACACATACAATCTAAAACTTCTGAAAGAAATTAAGATTATATTTTCCCATTTCATTCCCTCTGATTGAAGAGATTAGACAATGACAATACCTCCTAGGTCTTTTATTTTCTTACTTTGCCAATATCAACTCTTTCTACCAATGTTTCTATTTTTTTCTGTTGTCTTAACCAGTCAACACAACATTAGGCATTTCTAGTAAG